GCCTATATCATCAGTTATAATAAAATTGAACAAAACAGTAAAGAACAAAACCGACAAAACCAAAACATTGGAGACATTGTAGGTCTTCAAAAGTATTTAAAAGTCATCGAGAATGGGTGTCATAATGAATCTCACTATCTTCACAGCAGTTGCCTAAACTTTCGAACCTGGTACTATCAAGCAAAGCAGAATAGGGGGACATCAGTCAAAAACAAGATGGTGAGAGTAATACAAGGCTTTAAATCAAGAAAATGGAAAGTCAAAGTGGGTTGCTATAATATATCATGCTATTTTTATTTATTTTTCCCTTAATTAAAAGGATAAAAATAAAAAAGTAAATAATTGAGTGGAGATTGAGATAAAAGAGGGCATAACAGCAAATCAGCGCAGATCAAAATGTAACCATTTAAGCAGAATAGTGTTTCACCACAAGATAATCCTGACATAAAAGTAGTTACCATATTGTCTCTTTCCTTGAAATCCTTGAGTACAACTTCTTATATTGTAGCATTAAATATATCAAAATAATATAAAACCATTTAAGAGAATGACAGCATTACAGGGTATTTAGAATCAACTAACAGAAAATGAACAATGGTTTCTGTATAATCTCCTTGTCTTTAAAAGTTTTTGCTTATACTATCGTACATAATAAAATCCAATAAGATACAACCTGTTTAGACCAATGGAAACAGAAGAACAAAAGTTTGATGAGACTTCAAAACAAGATGATACTAAATCAGCATTACCTATTAAGATGTCATTTTCTCCAAAATAGCTGTTCCTATCATCCAATCTTCTCTGCCTCATTTCTGTTGAGCTCTTTTTCTGTCATTAGTTGTCAGTTTGTCTTCTTCATTTTGTTTTCTGCTCCATTCATTGTGGCCTCCCCGCCACTATTTCTGGATTCTTTGTATTTTTCTTTTTTAGAATATCCTGCAATACTCTCTGTAGAGTTGAATTGGTGGTTGCAAATTCCCCCAGTTCCTCTTCATCCTGGAAGCACCTTGTTTTTCCATCAATTTCCAGGGATAGTTGTGCAGGATATATCAATCTTGGCTGGAGATTATTATCTTTCAAAGCTTGAATTATTTCCCCCCACGCTCTTCGTGATTTGATGGTTTGTGCAGAGAAATCTGCTGTAATTCTGATGGGTGCTCCCTTGTAAGTGATCTGTTTCTTGTCTCTGACAGCTTTTAATATTCTGTTCTTGTATTGGATTTCTGGAATTTTAATTATTATATGCCTGGGTGTTGCTCTGTTTGGGTTGTAGGTGGCTGGGGTCCTGTATGCCTCATACATCTGAGTATCTTTACCTTTTGCTAAATTAGGGAAATTCTCCTGGATTATTTCTGTGAGTAGCTTTTGTAGTTCATTTGTTTGTGTCCCTACTTCTTCTTTTATGTTCTTAATTCTTAAGTTATGGATCCTCTTATCTATTATTGCTGTTTGTTTCTTTGTTACTTTTAAGAAGTTTTTCATTTCATTCTCCCATATTACAAATCTGCCCTCCAGTTCAGATAGTCTGTGCTTAGTTTCTTTCAAGCTGTTATGCCAGTTTTCTATAGACTTTTTAGTTTCCTGGTAGTCCCTTTGAACCTGCTTCACGTATTCTATGCTTTCTCTATTTTCTCCATCAAACAATTCTCCCCTCTTTTTCTGTTCTTCCATTCCACCATCTGTTTTTTCTTGGGTGGTGCTTAGCATTTCTCTAACTATTCTGCTTACTTCTAGCTTCAGGTCATTGATAACTTCATTCCTGAACTGATCTATGAGGCTCTCTAGATGGCGCTTTATGTCTATTGGTGCGGTGTCCGCTATTACCTGTTTCTCAGGATTGGGGGCCGAGGAGCCTTTCTTGTTGCTGCCTCTTCCCATATTCTTTGTTCCTTATATATGCAAGCTTATATAGGAGGCCCAGCTTCCCTCCCTGTCAGCCACAGCCTGATCGAATTGCTCCGGCTAGGTGTTCCCGCCCAGCGCAGCACACCAGGAAGTTGCAGATCAGGCAGCCTACGTGGGGCCTGCCCCTCTAGGCCACCTTCAGGCTCTGGGGTCTGGGTTGGGCTAGCCAGCAGCGTCACGTAGGCTAGGCACTTCTCACCAGTCCTGCTTGAGAGGGGGATACGTGGCTGAAGTCGCCACCGCGCCCTGCTCCCGCAAGACTGCCCAGTCCCAGAATGTCCTCCGCTGGAGTCAAACTGTGGTAGAGTGTCAGTTTCTCTCATTCACCTCATCACAAGTCAGTGCACGGCTCCACGCCCGTCCCACTCTCAACTCCGTTCACCAATTCCCATTCTCAGAGTTTCCGCGCGTCTCTCTCCCTGCGGAGCCAATGCAGACGCAGCCACCGCGCAGCGGGAAACCCAAATAGCGGCTTCCAATGGCGCGGGCTCTAGCCTCCACACTGAAGCTTTTCTGTTCCTGTTCTAGCACCAGGACTGCATTCCAAGTTGGTTTCTCTCAGCCCAGTTTGTTCCTGGGTCAGCAGAGCATATCTCCACCTGCTTATGACTCCTTACTCCGCACCATTCCTGAATTATTAGCTGAGTCTTTCAGAGAGCCTCCGTAGCTGCTGTTATCTGTTCGCCATGTTCTCCTGGAAGTCCAGGCCTATTTCTTGATCCATTCTGTCAACTTGCTTCTTTTGATAGCTGAATCGAGCCCATTTACATTTATGGATATCACTGATACGTACTGGCTTGACTTTGCCATATTATGTTCCTCTTGTTGGGTTCCTGCTTTCCTCCCTTGTTTAATTTTTTGTCCAGCCTGCTGGTTTCTTTCTGTTGTTGTTCTGGAGATTGTGGTCATTTTTATCTCTTTCGAGTATGTCTTTCAATATTCTTTCTAGGGTTGGTTTTATTGATATGTATTTCTTCAGTTGTTCTTTGTCATGGAAGTATTTTATTTCTCCATTAAATTTGAGACAGTTTTTCTGGATACATCAGTCTGGGTTGAAAGTTGTTTTCTTTTAGGGCTTGAAATACTTCTTTCCAAGCTCCTCTTAATCTGAAGGTTTGTGCTGAGAAGTCTGCCATGATTCTAATAGGCTTTCCTTGATAGGTGAGTTATGACTTTTCCCTAACAGCTTTTAGTATTCTGTTTTTATGCTGTATGCCTGGGATCTTAATTATTGTATGTCTGGGTGTAGAGTTATGTTGGTTATGACTGTTTGATGTTCTGTATGCCTTAATTATTTGTATGCCAGATTTTTTCCCTATGTGTGGGAAATTTTCTGCTATTACTTCTGTGAATAGCTTAGTTATGTCATTTGCATTGACTCCTGCGACTTCACTGATGCCTATTAATCTTACACTGCTTCTCTTGGCATCATCTTGAAGCTGCTGAATTGTCATTTCAATTGGCTTTGTTGCTTTTATAAGTTTTATCTTTTCATGATCACTATCTGTGGTCCTGTCCTCAAGGTCTGAAATTCAGATTCATTTAAACAGTTTTGCCAGCTTTCAATAGAATTTTTTTTTCTTGGATATCTCTTCGAATTTGTTCCATGGATTCTGCTTGTTTTCTACATTGTTCATTCAAAGTTTCAATTAGTTTCCCATGTTCCTGTTTGTTTTTATCTATTTCTTCCCTAGCCATATTGAGCAAATCCTTTAAAAGGTTGTTATTTCTGTCTTTATGTAAGACCTTGCTTCTAATTTGATTTCCCTATATAGCCTCATGGATTTGTTTCTTTACTTCATTTGCTATCTTTTCAGAGGTTTCTGGTATATGCCTTTTAAAATTCTCTATTTTGCTGTTGCATGTTCTTGCACCTGATGGACTAGAGATGTTTGAGAGATTGCATTTTGATTTTTCGTTTCATCATTTTCACGTTCTGGGCCAATATCTGGTCATTTAATCCCAATAGTCACAACTGTCGGCAGTGTGTCTTGTAGGGTCCTAGCGTGGTTGATGTCCACCCGATTCTTGGGTACATAGTGACTAGAACCTGCCAGGGTCCTCTGTCTGGGCAAGGGGCCACTAAGTCTCCCATCAAACCAGCACTGCCAGTGCACTGCAGTTCAAGGTTCTGGGAGGGAAATAGGGCGCCAAACATTCACAGCAATGCTTGGTCTAAAAGATGATAAGAGTAGCCGAGGGCAGTGGGTCGAACCAGGATGGATCCTCTGGGTCAGCAAAAGGGAGGAGTGTGCTGGGTCATGGGCACGGGTCAGTGGCCTGAGCCAGGAAAGGAGCACAGCCGTCTCCTCTGTGTGGCAGCAGTGGGAGGGTGCAAACGTGTGCAGGCCTGGCTCAGTTGCCTGAGCTGGAGTGGAGCTCAGTGGTCTTCCTCCACTTAGTAGTGGCAGGGAGGCATGGAGGTGTGCAGGCACACCCAACGGCCAAGTCAGGGCCGAGCTCAGCAGCTTCCTCCAGAAGACTAGGGTCGGGGGTGCACCGAGTGGGGGAAGGTACACACAGTGGCCCAAACCAGAGGCAGAGTTCTGTGTTCTTCCTCCTCGTGGTGGCGGGGGTGGGGGTGGGGTTCTCGCCTATTGTTATATAACATTTATAACTCTCATAAAAGTTGCATTTTGTGAAGTATGGTATTTTTAAGGCAGTGATTAAAATAAATGAAACACTGTAAAATAACAAAAAAAGAAAGTGGTCAAGTTAATTTCTTGGATCTAATATACAGGTTGATCATCTCTAACCTCAAATTCAAAACTCAAAATGTTCCAAAGTATGAAATTTTTGAACATTAATGTCCTGCTTTTAGTCTATATATGTATGAAGCATAAATAAATTTCCTTTCAAGTTGAGTCCCATCTCTAAGATATCTATTATATATATGCAAATACTCCAAAATCTAAAAACACACACATAAAAAGTATAATTTATTTTTGCTTTTAGGTTTGTTGTTATATTAGTGGATCAGACTGCTGTATGAAAATCTGTGTGATTTCTATCAGAGTGATTTCCCACCTTGGGTAAAACATACAAAGTAAATGTTTTAATATGTGTTGCCTTGCTTTTGTGATTACTGACTTTAGGTCTTCCTGATATTTGCGATAGCTTTCTGGAGAAATGGTTGGCAGAAGGTTACATTAAACATAAACCTGATCAGTTGACCGTAAATCAGTATGAACCTGGGCAAGGTGAGTAATTCCTCTTTATAATTCCAATCATATATTTCAGAACCAAGAATGTTATGTAACTTTTAAAAATCAAAGGTACTATTTTTTAACTCAAACTAACATAAATTAATTTGCTCCTTCCTTTCCTTTCCTTTCTTTTCTTTATTTTCTGTACTGGGGATTACACCGGGACGCTGTACCACTGAGTTACATCCCCAAGCCCTATTTATTTATTGCAGTACTGAGAATTGAACCATGGCCTTTGTACTTATCCTCAGCCCTTTTAAAATGTACTTTTATTTTGAGATAAGGTCTTACTAAGTCTTTAAGTTCCCAAGCTGAGTTCAAACTTGTGATCTTCCTGTCTCAGCCTAAGAGTAGCTGGGATTATTAGAATGTGCTATTGTGCCTTACTCTTAATCTTTGCATCTCAATTCCTGGAGGAATTTTGATCACAGAGTTTGAACAGACAGATACCTATTTTGTTTGTGATTTTTAAATTTTGCTTTGTTCCTCTCTCAACATTGTACTAGAGAACAGTGCTTGAAAAATATGATATGTATAACAGAAGAACCAAATAATTACAGAAGGAAGAAGGCTGACTGTTGGATGATCTTTTTATTCTTTTTATATTTAAGAATGTGGAATGCAACTCTAGGATAACAATGAAAAATATTTAAATTATAAATTCCTTGTATTTGTTAACAACATCCTTGTCTGATATTTATAGTAGTCAAATGATATTTAAGAGTTTTATAAACAATAGTAGTTGTAGTTTGTTTTTTTCTGCCTTTTTCATGCTGTGCAAGCATTTACATTACTTATTTATCTATCTTTCCACTGATATGTAAGCTACTTGAGGACTGGGGTCTGTGTTGCTTTATATCCTCTTTCACGTAGCCAAATTTCTGTATTAAGAGGTGTTCAGTTAACAGATTGATAGATCAGTGGGGGTAGCCATATCTTAATTATTGGTACATTTAGTCTTCCCTCATGGCTGTTGCCTTTGTTTCCCAAGGACCTGGAACTCTAGTGTTCAAGGAAAAAAAAATACAGTGTTTATCTTCTATATCTTCCTGTTGCACTGGAATTGGATTTGTGTCCTAGTTAAACAGTGACTTCTAATCCTTATTTGAGAGTTAAATCCCAATGGTACTTTAAATTATTTAAGACATGAAGAAAAAATTTTTAGTTTAAAATTATTTAATTCAATATTCTTTTGTCATATTCACCTTGTTTCCTGTTAACTAAATTATAGTACCTTCTTGATAACTGAACAATATTTTCACCATAACTGTGTAAATCTGCATTTATAGTTTAGGCATTTTAAATTTACTAAAAGGAAAAATGAAGCAACATATTATTCTATTTTCTATTTCAGGAATTCCTGCCCATGTTGACACACATTCTGCTTTTGAGGATGAGATCATTTCTCTCAGTTTGGGGTCAGAGGTAAATCTTCATTCATTTTTACTAGCCATAGCATGTATTTATCTAATACGGAGTAATTTTCAGAGGATTGTTCACATTCTAAATTTAAAAGAATCAAGGTTTCTACATGAAAGTAAGGACATTGTTAGAACTTTAATTTCTTTCTTTTCTTTTCTTTTTTTTTTTGGCACTGGGGATCGAACTCACAATCTAGAGTTTGCCAGGCAGGCGCTTATGCCACTGAGCTAAATCCCTGTCCCTTGAACTTTCATTTCTTGCAAAATATGAAATTATCACAACTTCTAAATATCATCAGCTGCTAGGAAAACATCTGAAATTTAATTTTCTATACATTTCACTTAGTAATTAAATCCAGACTTCTCTTGGTGGCTTGGTCAATTTTTGACCTAGTGCAGGATTTCCATCTAGTGGCAAAATGTAGTAAGTGCAGTGCATAGAAAAAAACCTGATAGGTCTAGAATTTTGACCAACTTTTTACATATGTTATCTGATTCAAGCCTTTCAAAAACTCTGAGCAGTAGAGGGTCTCATCAGCATTTTTTACATATGAAGAATAAGAGGCACATATTTATTTACTGGTTTGTTTCTGTAGCTGCACTTTGTTTGCACTGCTAATGACCAAAACCATGATTTAAATGATACTTACAAATTGTAGGCAGAGTTTCAGCTATATGTTAGAATTTGTAAAAAAATTTTTTTGTTTTAAAGAGAACAAAACAAAACAGAGCAGAACAAAGCAAATCAGAACAATATAAGCAACACAGGACTTCACAACAAGACATCAACAGTGGCTACCATAATGTCTCTTGTTTTCTTTGAAATAGTTGAGCATACCTTCATACACAATAATATAAAACATAACAAAATAGTATAAAGCCATTCAAAAGAATGAAAGCATTATAGGACTTCAAAACTAAAAAACAGGAAATGAACAATGGCCATATGATACCTTATTTTCCTCAAAAAAGTTTTCCATACCATCACACTTAATAAAATCAAATAAAACACAATGGGATAGAACCAATCAAAACAGAAGAACAAAAGCATGATAAGACTTCAAAACAAGATGATAGTAAATCAACAATGGCCACAATAATGTCTTATTTTCTTCAAAATAGCTGTTCATACCATCACACATAATAAAATCAAACAAAACAAAACAATAAAACTAATTAAACAAATGAATGAAAGCATTATAGAACTTCAGAACAATATAATAGGAAACCAACCATGATTTCCATAATACATCCCATTATATTCAAAATAGCTGCCCATACCATCTGACAGAATAAAATGTAACAAAACAAGACAGAACAAAGCCAAACCTAACAAAATTGTGAAAACCATAAAAGAGTTCAAGACAAGACAATAAGAAATTAATAATAGTTTCTACCTTTCCCTCCCAGGTATTTTCTCCTCCATCACTCTTACAATAACTATTTTGCTTTTGAATCCATATAATTCCTTCTGTTACTTATGCTAGGGTTCATGCATATGAGTTCACCTATGAACATGATCTCCAGTGGCATCCATCTACCTATAAGAGCCTCGAGATTATTCTACTTCATATTATTTTTATTATATTTGTTACTTTATATTATTTATTTATATATGTAAGTATTTATATATTTATATTCTACTTTATCCATTCTGTGGTTGATGAGCAAGTTACTCTTGCTTTTTTTTTTTGGTCTCCTGTCACATGGAGCAATTGTTTTCTGTCCTTTGATTTTCAGTCTATGAATTTCCTTTCTAGTTAAATGTGTTTCTTGTATATAGTCTATCGATGGATCTTGTTTCTTGATCCACTGTCTCTGTTTCTTTCTATTGCTGAACTAAGGCCATCTATATCAATGGTTATGATCAGCAAACATTGGTTCATCTCTGCCATACTCCTGTTGTTGGCCCTCCACTTTCCCCTTCATTCAATTGCCTGTCTTGTTTGGTGATCCTCCTCTGCTGCTGTCCCGGAACCAAGGTCATCTTTATCTCTCTCTACAATATCCTTTAGCACTCTCTGTAGGGTTGTTTTGGCGGTCATGAATTCCTTCTGTTGTTCTTTATCATGGAAGTATTTTGCTTTTCCATCAATTTTGAAAGATAGTTTTGCAGGGTATAGCAATCTGGGTTGGAAATTATTTTCTTTCAGGGTTTGAAATATTTTGCTCCAAACTCTTCTTGACTTGATAGTTTGTGTTGATAAGTCTGCTGTGATTCTGATTGGCTTTCCTTTATAGGTAATTTGTTTCTTTTCTCTAGCGGCTTTTAATATGCTATTCTTGTGTTGATTTTCTGGGTTCTTGATTTTTCTATGTCTGGGTGTAGATTTACTTTGGTTGTGGCTAGTTGGAGTGCTATATGCCTCACTTATCTGCATGCCAGATCCATTTCCCATGTTTGGGAAGTTTTCTGCTATTCTTCTATAAATAGTCTTTTAATTTCATTTGTGTTGACCTCTGCTTCTTCACTGACACCTATCATTCTTAAATTATGCTTCTTTGCATTATCTTGTAGCTGCTGAATTGTTGATTTCTGATTCCTTGCTATTTTTAAGAGATCTTTCCTTTTATGATCACAAGTTGCAATCCTATCTTTAAGGTTTGAAGGTCTATCTTCGGTCTCTTTCAAGTGGTTTGGCCAGCTTTTGATGGACTTTGTAATTTCCTGGATCTCTCTTTGAATCTGTTTCATGCATTATAATTCCTTTCTATATTTATTCAAGGTTTCCATCATTTTCCTATGCTCCTCTTTTTACCTATCTTTACTTTAGATATGCTGAGCAATTCTTCCAGTATGTTTGTGATTCTTCTTTTACATGAGACATTATTTCTGATTTGACTGCTTTTACAATCTTGTGAAGCTGTTTCATTACTTCAGTTGCTATCCTCTCAGAGACTTCAGGTGTATGACTTCCATTTTCTTCCATGGATATACCTTTTAGACTTTTTCTGTGTAGGCTGGAGGTCTGAGATTGCCCTTTGCTCCTTTATTTTGACAGTCTCCTTGGTTCCTCCCAACAAGCTGGTTGTGTGGCCCCAGGCTGCCCCTCCACAGTGTAGGGGAATAGGACAGGCCCCTGGCTTCATAGATTATCCCAGATTACAGGGAAGTAGCAGGGCATGGAACAGGCTTCTCCAGACCTGTGCAGCTACACTGGGCCTTCCTTGATGATCAGAGATGCATAGAGGTGGGAATGCTTCTCTCAGCCTGCATGTCTATACTGGGATTCCCACAATGGTGTCATATAGGGGGTGTGTTTGTCTGATTCTGCTGGTGGCTGATGGCTGCCCAAAGGAAGCAAGAGCCTCCAATGGTGGCCTATAGGTACACAGAGCTTCTCTGGCTGTGTGTCTCTACTTCTGCTGGCCGTCTGTAGGAAGGAGCCTTCCAGTGGTAGCACCTGACAGGCAGAGATGGATCTGCTGACTCACTGCCTGTGCTGGCCACCCACTGGCTGCTCCACTCAGTGAGCCCCTTCTGCCACTGTTTGGCTCACAGGTGGCTGTTGGAGTACCACATGGGCAGGACCCTCTGCCTCTTAACTGGTTACCTGTGGGGATCTGATGATGGTTGCCTGAGTGCATGCAGGCGTGGGGCTGGCTGCCATCTCCCTACTGAGCTAGCGGGGAGACCCTACCATGGCTGTCAGAGTACATGTCGGGGCAGGGCTGGCTGCTGCTCTAGGGCCAAGCTAGTGGTAGGAAACCTCAGTGATGGCTGTTGGAATGTGCATAGGGGTGGGGCTCAGTCCAAGCAATTTTTACTAGTCTGCTTCCAAAGAAGAGCTGCTGGAGGGAGCTGGCTGCAGTTCTGGTTCTGGACTTACCCAGCCCGACTCCAAAATGGCTTCTGGCCAATTGCTTTTTCCTGTGGGAGAACTGAACCCATTGCACTCACATCCAGCCTCTGTGTCTGCTGCTCCCCTCCACTGCTGTGTCTCTTTGCAGGGGCTTCTAGGCTTGCCAGCCACCACTGTCTCCATGACTGTGCGTCCCCAGGTTCCCATAGCTCCTTGTGGCTCTGGGTGAAGGCACCACCAGCTCCTGCCTTCTTCATGTAAGTTTTTCTTTATTGTTCTCTCTGTGGGCTTCAGTTCTCACTTTAGGTACTTCCTGGATTCAGCGGACCCACTTCCTTCCTTCTTGTCTTCTCCACGATGCTATATTCCAGCATCTGGACTGCTTCTCTCAGAGAGGTTTACTGTGCTGCTTACTACTCCACCATCTTCCCAAAAGTTCATATTAGAATTCTGAATCTACAATAATTGTTAAAATATGAGATCATCTAATCTTAAGTATAGATTGCTTCAAAGTCTAATCTTGTTCTTGGAAGGAAATAGTATATATTAATTTGGTCCCTCTGTATATGTATTGTTCTCATTACTAGATCTTCAGTTTTGCTACCTCTTAACCTTTGTTGGGCTTTTGTGATCATGTCGATGTGGTGGTTAGAGAATTAGTGCTGTTCATTTGATACTGCAAAACCATCTTATCAAATAGATGTATAAGTTCTTAATGTAGGAACTTTCAGGAGGGAAAACTGAAATAACCCTTCTGTGACTTATTTTCATTCTTTTCCCTGGCTTTAACTTGGGGGATCAATAAAAAAAAAACTTCTAATTTTTCGCCACAGCTATACAACCAGTTGAGAAATGAGACAAAAGATAAATGGAAATCAGGGCACACACTTTACTATTGAGAATCTGATGACAGGACATAGCTCTAGATTTTTGGCCAAATTGACTTTTAATACTTCACCTCCGAATTAGAGCTATGTATAGCTATTGCCATTTTAATGAATTGAAGATATCAAGTTCTGACCTAGATCCCAAGTCTCTCAAATGAGTGAATGGCAAAGGATTAAATAAATGAGTCAAGTGGTGTGATTTTAGGGCTCCAGGAGGATCAAAACCCTTATGCCAAGTTTGAGACTGTGGGGGCTAAGACAAAGAGCTTCTCTGGACAGCCCATATTTATTAGAGCTATGTAGAGCTATGTACACCTCCAAATTAGAGCTATGTACAGCTAGACAGCTGGAGACCTCCTCATGGAGGCAAAGGCTATCCCTTAACATAGGACATGAAGGAGCATGTGTTAGATCCTACAAACCAGCTGGTTCTGAAAAAGAGAGAAGGAAGCATCTACTAAAGTGATCTGGGCTCCATGCTTACTGATCAGAGAAGGTATTGCTTCTTTTCAAGGCAATTGTTAAGTGAAGAGGTGGAGAAAAACTAGGAGCATATTTCCTATTTTCCATTCCTAGTGATATTCCCTTCCTTCCCAGGGATGAAATGAGGACTCAGTATATATTCTCAATACCCAACAAAGTCATTATAGAGTTCTTAATGAAAAGTTGTAAAGAAGAGAAATATTGCCATTTTAATGAATTGAAGATATCAAGTTCTGACCTAGATCCCAAATCTCTCAAATGAGTGAATGGCAAAGGATTAAATAAATGAGTCAAGTGGTGTGATTTTAGGGCTCCAGGAGGATCAAAACCCTTATGCCAAGTTTGAGACTGTGGGGGCTAAGACAAAGAGCTTCTCTGGTCAGCCCATATTTATTAGGTCCAAACAAAAAGCAGGGATGCTGAGGAAAGCATGGGAAATGAGCAGGACCTTAAGAGTCACTTCAAAGACTTTTCCAAGTAGTAAATTACACCAGTTTAGGAGAACTGTCTTTTCTCCATGATGACATTTATGGTAGGAGTGGCACTGCAGGAGTGAGATGCCTGTAGCTGCAGTCTCTATTTGCTTAATTGGTGTTTGAGCCAGGTGCCCTCAGATGTGGCCTTACCTTGCTTTTTGAGGTGTCTCTGGTATCACAGGCCACTACAGGTCTCAGCCAGGCCCAGTGATTCATAGAGATTCACTTACTATGAATCAACTCCCATCACCAGGCAGGGAACCTAGGCCTAGGCTAGACTACAGGTAAACATAGAGAGCCAATTAGTTAATTTTAAATCCTTCTCAGAGCTGCTTTATAGTGGTCTCCAACAGAAAATCTGCTGCATTTCATATTTCCATTTGGTAACACTGAAGGCATTAATAGGAATGATGGAGTTTCTAGTAAAAGCCATCTTTATAATAGCTGGACAGTGTGTGTGTGTTCTAAGGTATGACAAGAATAAGTAGATTTTCCTTTATAAGATAACTTCTGAGAATAAGTGAATTTTTGTAATTTTGAAAAAATGCTTCCTAAATTTTTCAGTTTATTGTGCTATTTCAAATATATCACTACATTTAACCCTTTATTTAAGGCCTAAAATGGGATTAATAACATTTCTTTCCTGGCTGAAGGAATGTGATGTGAATAAAGAGTTATGGAATGTTAAATGTTTTTGGTGCATGCATGCAACGGTTTATTAAAAACATCCCTCTTCTAGAGCTCCTTACTTAAAACCTGCACTTCTCTGACAGCCTAAAAGAAGGATTGCAGGCAGCCTCTAGAAAGATGTCTTGTCTTTTCTTATATTTAGTTACCTTATACACTGTTGTTGCTCTGTTTTTTCTTTTTATCGATGCTTTGTAGTTACTTGAATGCCTTCCTAGCTCCTTTTCCAGACTGAGAATCTGGATATCATAGCTAATTCTTTAATGTTCATGTGTTTGCATATTTTTATGGTTTATTTTGTCACTGATTTCTAGTTTCATTGCACTACGATTGGATAATATCCACAGGAAAATTGATTCTTTTGCATTTACTTAAGCATGCTTTCTGGCCTGCCATGTGGTCTGTTTTGGAGAAAGTCCCATATGCTACTCTGAAGAATGTGTACTCCATTGTGTTGAATAGAACACTGTGTAGATATCTCCTAAGTCCATTTGTTAGAATGTTTGATTCAATTCTTATGTTTCTTTGTTGATTTTTGTGTTGTTGATTGATTTGTGACAGTGGGATATTGAGGACCCTACTATGCCTTTTTAAAAAAATGGTAACAAATTTTTATTAAAGTTAGAAAAAGAAAAGAAAAAAAAAAAGAAAAAAGAAAAAGAAAGAGGCTCTGCAAAGTGATTTTGGGCCAAGTAAAAGTAGGAAAAGAAGTAAACCTAACACCTTGATGGTAGGCCATCCATGCAATTCCATACTTTGATTGAAAGAATATGTGAGGCAAAAAGCCAGCTTAGATCCATATAATTATATATTTCATACAGTTTTCATATGTATTGTCTAGTTTGATCTAATATCAGTAATGATTATGTGAATAACATTTAGTAACATTTGTTGAATGTCTATTTTGTACCAGGTGCTGTGCTGAATGTACCTTTAAGAAAGATACTATGCTAAGTTTTATTTATTCCATTCATACTTTGTCATCATATTTATTTTTCAAATGAGTTAATCTCTTCACTTGAAAAACATTTTTCAGTCTTTTGGCATGCTCTTTAAATTTGCATTTGTTGGCTATTTTTACTCTGAAGCCCTTGGCATTTAATGGGCCACTAGGACAAAATCAACAAACATTTTCTTGGGTGTTGTCTTTTACAGGTTGGTATTCGGAATATATGAATATAACTTAGGAAAGTTTGCTAAGACTGCTTCTGTTTTCTTTGATCATCTCTTATTAATTGGCATCATATTTTAGCATGACTTTCAAGGTAAAAAATGAGTTATGAGGGTCATTACTTGTTAGCATTTTATGAGTAAAAATAGCCATAGCTATTCTTTTGTATTTACTGTAGGCAAAGTTTCAATCCATTATTTATTTAGTTCAGGTAGCAATGCTTTAGTAATGAAGAGAACCAGGGCATAGAGATTTGATAGTTTGTCTTGGATCACATGACTAGTAAATGAAAGACCCAGGATATGAATTTTAGCTCTAAAGTCCTTATGTGTAACCACTACTCTAGGATTTTCCACGGCTCGTCCTCAAATCACCCACTTGCCAAGTTATTGTTAGAAATTCAGATTCCTGAATCTCACCTCATGTCTGTCAAGTCTGAATCTCTATGGATCAATTCATTTTTTGTCATTCAGTTGACTCTTATGACACTAAAGTTGGAGAACCATTTTTATTGTATAAGCATTATCATGTTTTGATATCTGTTAGCCTAGAAAAATGGGCAGAATGAATAAATCATTTGGGGGGGAGGGTACTTTGAATTGAACTCATGACCTCACGCTTGCTTGGGAGCTGCTTGTGCCACTGAGCTAAATCTCTAGCCCCTTGAATAAATCATTCTTATCCTTGGAGTATTGGAGTACCTGAAATTTTGTGTTCCTTTTTATGCTTTTGTCTTTGCTTTTAGGTTGTTATGGATTTTAAGCACCCAGATGGTGTCACAGTGCAAGTTATGTTGCCTCGTCGGAGTTTGCTAGTCATGAGAGGAGAATCTAGATATCTTTGGACCCATGGGTATGTATTGAAATGACCTTGATGAATAGATGACTTTCACTTTGTGAGATTTTTCATTCTTCTCTGTCTGAAACACTGGAATCATCTCCTGTGCCTGAGCGGTGAAACTTCTGGGTTCAACCCTCCTAGGGCCATCTGTGACTTTTCCATTTTATATTTTCAAACTTTATGCAAAGTTGCAAGGATAGTAAACTCCCCTTATCTTTCACCTAGCTTTATCAATTGTAAACATTTTGTCACCCCTTATATTTGTCTTTCGCAAATAATTACTAGTTTTGCTGAATCACTTGAAAGTTAAAGTGTGTACCACAACTGTACCTTTAAATGCTTAACTGAGTATTTCCTAAGAGCAAGAACATTGTCTGTATTCAGTGTTTGACAAATTATGGCTTGTGAGGCAAATCTAGTCCTTACCTTGTTGTACAGCCTGTAAGCTGAGAATGAATTTTATATTCTTAAAGGATTATAAAAAAACCCAAAACCAATAAAGAATATTTGACTTTATATGCCCTTTAGTGCCTACAGTACTTATTATCTGCTCCTTTATAGAAAAGGTTGGCCAACCTGTGTTCTATAAATCTATAGTACTAGACACTCAGCATTGATAAAATATACAATCCATATGCATATTTTGCTAGTTGTGCAGTACAGTACTCCATAATGAATGTTCTCTGATTGAAGATTCAATCTTAATTCTGCATTATCTTTAGTTAATTCTCTTTAGTCCTTCATTTGAAACACTTTGTCCTTCATGATACTGATCTTTTGAAGACACTAGTTGCATTGTAAAATGTTCCTCAATATGAGTTTTTTGATTTAATGTGACTAAAGAAATGGCTTATGTACTTTTGTTAGGAGTGCCCTTTGAGGAGAGAGCATTATACTGCTAAAATTTATATATTGTCACTTAAAATGTTGCTCAGTTCTATATTTATAAATTCTGTTCTGCTTAGAGATTTTTAGCTCACAGGTTTTAATAAAAATTCAAGAAAATTCATCAATACATTTGTGACCTGTCCTAAATGTGAACCATAAAAAAGATGACCTGATTTTGTATACTAGGACTTATATTTATTTGATTTTTAAAAATCTGTGGCTAGTAATATCTGTACATAAAATAAGTGATCATAGTGTTGTGATCCATTGAACTCATGTATTCATTTAAACTTTTTAAGCATATTAGTATTCCAGAAAATATAAAATAAGGAATTGCTTTTCAGATATTTTGAAAATATTTTAGTGCCGTGTCTTTCTCCTCTGTTTGCTCTGCCTGGTGGCTTCTTTTTAGTAGTGTTCTTGGAATTGTGGCCTTTCTTATCTCTTTCTAAAATATCCTTCAGAGCAATTTGGAGAGCTGGATTGGTGGTCATGAAATTCTTCATTCCTATGTCATGGTAGTATTGTATTTCTCCCTTGATTTGGAAAGATAGTTTGGGTAGGAGGTTGTTTTCCTTTAGGGCTTGAAATACTTCACTCTTCTTGAATTGAGGGTTTGTGTTGAGAAGTCTGCAGTGATTCTAATAGGTTTCCCTTTATACGTTATTTGTTTCTTTTCACTAATTGCCTTTAATATTTTGTTCTTGTGTTGAATTTCTGAAATCTTGATTATTATATGTCTTGTTATAGATTTATTTCGGTCATGGCTGATTAGAGTCCTGTATGCCTCACTTATTTGTACGTCAATTTTTTTTTTTATCCCTGCTTGGGAATTTTTCTGCCATTACTTGTGTGAAGGGTTTAAAATGGCATTTGCACTATTTCTGGCTTTCTCATCAACTCTGATACAATCTTCTGTTGTTTTTCTTTGTTTCATCTTGCAGCTGTTGCATTGATTTTTCATAGTCCCTTGCTATTTTAAAAATATCTCTCTTTTTGTAGTTGCTAACCACAGTCTTGTCTTCTGGATCTGATATTCTAAATCTTTGTCTTCATGCAGCCTGTTGCTATACTTTCAGTGGAATTATTGATCTCTTGGATATCTATCTGGATCTGTTTCATGCCTTCTGTTTTTTCCTACGTTGTGCATTCATGATTTTCATCCTTTTCCTAAGTTCTTCTCTTTTTTTTTTTTTAAATCTGTGTCTACGCTAGCTTTGTGGGACATGTCATTCATTTTCTTTTTCAGTTTTCATCTCTTTTTTTACCTGAGAGATTATTTTTTCTATCGCTACATTCATTTTTTTTTTCATTTCCATTGCTTTCATTTCAAAAAGTTGCAATATGTAGCTTCTAATTTCTTATATCCCATTGTGTTCTCAGTTTGTCTTGGCTGGGGTTATATTTTGCTTCTCCATTTTGTCATTTTCTATATTTAATTTTGTTTTAGTTTCTTTGTTGGTGCTTATAGTTTTCTTTTGATAGTTTTGTCACTTGTATTGAGGCTTCTCTAGGAAATGTCTGTCCCTCAAAGAAGTCTTCCAAGTGTAGGTGGTTCATGGTCTCTGTATCTATCCCAAGAAACTGTCCTTCCAATTTATGAAGGGTGAGAAGTTTCTATATGGATTAACACTATCACCTTTGGTACTGGAGTATGGCAGTGATCACTACTCCAGGCAATTAAAGTATTGTCATATGAGGGAGGAAAACTGATTACAGCATGTATGACATCCTGACCAAAGTAGTACACTTAGCAATAACAGTAGCATCAAGCACAGTCTAGCAAATGACAAACTATGGTAACTATTAATTTGGTACCTCTAAGCATAGGAGCAAGCTCTACAGTTTTATAATGCAATCCAGTGTATACCAGGAACTTATGTGCAATGAGTTTCCCCTTGGAAGATTGATTTTACCCAATTGCTGGCTCTGTGGGCCTCCTCAGGAAACAATGTCCTGTTGGGCCAGGCCACTCTGCCTCTCTGCCATGCTGCTGTGGGGCTGGGTCACTCCACCTCCTATCAAAATACTTTAATCTATTCTTGGCATTGGTATAGGTTCTCTTGAAGCATCAGTTTTTTTTTTTTAAGGAAATATCATTTTCTTATTATTCTTATCAAAAGCATGTTGTGCTCTTCAATGTAAATAGTTATTTCTGGAAGGTTGGAGTATAGATATGAATTATTATTTACTTTTACTTATTTATTTGTTGAGACAGTCTCTTTGTAGCTAGTTTGTTCTTGAATGTATCATCATTGCATCTCAGCTTCCTGAGTGTTGATATTATAGACATGCTGATATTACAGACATGTTGAATAATATCTATTTATGAATGGTTACTCAAGAAAATAAATTTTTAAATATTATTTTGAGGGGGAAAATCCTACTACTTTAGAAGGCTTTCACTGGGAGCAATTGGCTGTCATTTGACCATGAGAACGTGTGACAGCACGAACAAGCATGGGTAAAAATGTGTTCTGAAAAGAGAGATGGGAAGGAGATGGAGGAAGGAGGCAGGGATAAGGAGAGAAAGAGAAAGACACCAAACAAACAGTGAGATAGCTATTGGATGTTTGGTGAAAGGGACAATAGATTAGAACATGTTTATATATTTAAAAAGTATTTAAACAGTAGAGAGTAAACCTTGATAAAACCTTTTGAATTTTTCACCTAAAAAAAGGTGCTACAAAAAAAAAAAAAAAAAAAAAAAACTATAGAGGGACATAGATTTGAAAGGGCTAACATTGTTCTTTAATATTAAATCTAAATTTAATTTCATCAAATTCAAGTTTTCTCTTCCAGCTACTATCCTCTAAATCAAAGGTGAAGCTGGTACACAAGAGTGAGTTCAGTAGATGTGCTATTTGGCTTCTGCAGTGGTCATCCACATGATAATAGTTTATTTATTTATCCATTTAAATCACCTACATAAAATAATCACATGGATTTTACATAAAAGTCTGAATCATCAGTTTCTCTTGAAAATTGAGAACATCTTGGCAACACTGGGCCATCATGTTGCTTGGCAGCAGTGATCAAAATTAAATGTCAGAGTTGGCTGAATCTAGACTCTGTGATTGGTTCATTGTCTTGTGCTGGTGTCGGTGTCACTCCCGGCCGGCAGGAAGGACACACAACAAAGTCTGGCAGTGGACAACCTTTTCTTTTATTTTCCTTCTCCGTACAGCCTGCCCCGGGAATCCTCCCGGCCGAAGCCTCTGTTGGTCCGCTCCCCGCGGCTCCTTGCGTGCTTCTCCCTACAGTCTGTCCCGAAGCCTCTACCGGTCCGCTCTCCGCGGCTCCTTGCGTGCTTCTCCCTACAGTCTGTCCCGAAGCCTCTACCGGTCCGCTCTCCGCGGCTCCTTGCGTGCTTCTTCTGCTTCTTTTGCTTCTTCTTCTTTTCTTGACGGGAGAGGCACTCACTTTTATAGGGTTCAGTTGTTGCTAGGCAGACTATCTTACAGGGCGGGTTGTGAAGCAGGAGATCTTACAGGGCGGGTTGTTTACCAAGCAGGAAGCAGGAGATCTTACAGGGCGGGTTGTTTACCAAGCAGGAAGCAGGAGATAAGCGCCATCTTAGCACACTCGATGGGAGGGGTAATCTAGCTCAGGCTTTGCTCTTTCCTACAGGCCTCACGTCCGCCAAGTAAGGCGACCGGGCTTGGCCGCGGCTCCCAACATCTCCCCCTTTTTTATTTTTTATGAATGTGCGCATCGTAGCCCTTCCTGGACTGGGTGCAGAGGCTTATGCCCTATGCGTAGGCCCACCGTAGGTCCTTGGCTTAGACCCTGGTCGGCCGTCCCATGGTCTGCCAAGGCCCTGAGGCCCTCGTCCTTTTTCTAGGGCCAGGCACAAACTGGACGGAACCTGGATGCACACAAGCTTGCACTCATTTCCTCTCCGTAAAGAAATCCCCTCGGAGAGAAATTTAGACCTGGGCAGCATCTAACAGTCCAGCGGCTTACGTGCAGGATGGGGTAGGGCCTGGCTTAGGTTGAGTCGCACCGGGGGAGTACGCTCTTACCCGTCATTGACTCTCCTACCCAGCTATGTCATAATTTTTTAGAGGAGGAGTGTGGGAAGCTCACCGCCCCTAGACTCGGTCGTAGGCTAGGCGAGCGAG